TCTACAAGAAGCTTTTAAAATCAGTCTAGGAATACAGCAAAGATGGAGTGGGGAGGTTAGGGCTGGGAGTCAGGGTACCTGGTTGTCACATACCTGTCACTGTTCCAGAAGCATGTGGGAGCACAGGAGAGAATCAGCCCAGCCTTTCAGGCTGTCCCCTATCTGTCCCTGCTGAGCTGGGCCCACCCTCCCCAACCAGGGCTGAACCAGGCAGGGGAGGCAGTGCTGGGTCCATGTCAGAGGATCTGTGTCCAGGGGTTCAAGTACCAGGGATCAGCATCAGTGGGGATCACAGCCTGCAGGGGGGAGGGAGAAGCAGCTCTCGCTTGGGGAGATGCAGATGTCCTCACCGGCCCTTGGAGCTGCCCACGCCCCATACACGAATGTGCACCAGAGGCTGGCAGTGGATCAGACTATGGTCCAGTGGATTCACTAGGCTCATGGCATCCTTCTTCAGGATCATAAGCATGTTCTGGCCCTGCCAAGGACAGTCATCCCAAAGATCAGATAAAAGTGGTTGCCATAGGAAACAGGTAACTCAGGGACAACTACTTCTGCTGGTCCATAGACTGAACCCATTGGGCAGCCAGATAACTCACCTCACCCCAGGCACCATCTGGGGGCTGGCTACGGTTGCGGGTCTGAGCCAGCTGCTGGATACAGTTATTGACTGCAATACTACTCTTTCCTGGTGCCAGGTCTTCTTCCGGCACCTCCACCCAGCCCAGAGAGCGGACTGCAAAGCACTGACAAGTTAGGGGAAGGGACAGGAGTGAGTAGGGGTGGAATGGGGTGGCAGGTACCACAGGCTCCACATGTACAAACCCTCTGGTAGTCTCTTCCTTTGCTCTTTATTACCTCTACTCAATCCAGGTCCACCCCAATCTTTCACTAAGGATTTCCCAATGCCTTAGGTTGACCCTCGGGCTCAAGTCACTACCTTAGTCCCTGGCTCCAGGCTCTGGATATAGGATTCCTCACCATACCAGGTCAGAGAGTTACTGGAAAAGAGAGCACAACTGGTAAGAGAACCATACTTCCTACAGTAGGGGAAATGGTAAGGCCCAAGCTATTTGATCAGCACAGGATTTTGGACAAGATCCAAAATACAGCATCACAAATATAAACCCCAAGTGTGGTAAAACCCAAGATATAKTAACATAAAATGTGGCTTAGAATTTGAGAGAAAATTCAGAACCCAAGGTCCAGACAGGACGTCGAATAAAAGTTAAAACATGAGACAGTGTATAAACTGTGAATCAGAGCCCCTAACCAAGACAAGACATCCTTGAAATCAAAGCCCAAAGACATGGCCAAGGTCTAAAACATGATAGGTCAGGACACAGAATATGGGAAAGAATATGTAACTAATGACAAAAACTTAGATCAAGGGACAAAACTCAAAATACTGATAGTCAAGAACATGGTGCTGTGCTGTGCCCAACAACACAGAACAGGGCCCTAAAAGGTAGTCCAGAACCTGATCTGGAAAACAGACTGGGTTCAGCTGCATTTCTAAATGCTCCCAAGCCTTTCATTTTGCCTGGGCCATCCCTGTTACCTTCGGTCCAGTGAGTTCTCCAGGCTGGAGAAGGATCTCCCCTTGGGGGGCCGCAGTCCCCAAATCCTCTCTGTCCTCTGTAGAACGGGGGCAGTCAATCAGTATAACAAGCAGGCCTAGGGCCACACACAGCCTTAGGCCCCTTTCTCACACCTACCGTGCCTGGATCCTCTGCATCTCCTATTTCCCAGGTTGGACGCTGCCACTGGGTGCTACCGCTTGGTACATGCCAATAGTAAGTACCTGCAGCATCATGGATCTTCCTCCAGCCTGGGGGCAGGCCTGGTTCCCCCTCCAGATTCTGGTCCCCCCACAAGTCATCTACAGAAACGAGATTGGAGAGGGTGCACATATTATGCATGAGTTCAGAATAACCATTGTCATAACCCTCCCTACATCCCACAAGGAACAGCCCGTTAGGCAGAAGCTCGAGGCTCCCCAATCTTAAGGATTGTAAGATCAGGGTTCATTTGTCTGCCGGTCCCCACACCACCCCCGATTTTGACCCTTTCTCCATTCCCTAGTCTCCCCCATCAGCTTCTCATTTTCCCACTAGGCCCCTCCGTGCACACCGTCGCAGTTGACCAGAATGATGGCCAGCATATAATCCTTGCCCAGCATAGCCCCTCCGGGTCCCCGCTGGCCCTAGCTGCCCTGCGCTCTCAGCTCAGCGCGACCTCAAGCAGAGTTGCGCTGAAAAGCCCCGGCTCCCTGTGTCGGAGACCGCCAGGCCAGCTGGCGCCGCAAACACGCGGGGCGGGGTCTGAGCAGCACCGCCCCTAGGCGGTGGTGTCTACAAGCCGAGTGGATGTGTGTTTCCGTGCGTCGGACCAGAGGAGGCGCACGGATGCCCCTGACTCGCTGACACCACCACGCAACTATGAGCTCATCAAGAGGGTGGAAGACCGGTCAGGTGAACGTGCACCGCGCGCACTCGCGCATGAGTGAAATCATCGCGCGGGTGTATGCGCGCTCACAGACAGCCTGGGATGCGGCGGTAGGGGTCACGTGGTAGCATCTGTGAAAACTAGACTGTCAAAATTCCGCGGCGAAGAAAACACCCAATCCTTTACAAAAATGCCCCGGAAGTGCCTCCGCCCTCAGTAAAGATGGCGGTAGGCCCAATAAGGGAGGCGGGGCTGCGCCTGCGCAACAAGTTCGGCGGGGAAGATGGCGGATGACAAGGTGAGTGAACGTGGGGGTGATCCTTAATTTTTTAAGATTGTCTTTAGATTCCATGGCTCTGTAGTTTTGGGGAAAGGTGACACTGGAATGTCCCAGAGATAGGGTGCCTCTTGTTTTCCCTGGAACTCTATCGACTACCTCAACAGGGAGGGGTGGCATGGGGGTAGTTTTAGGGAAGGCGGGAGGAGTCGGGGATCCCCCAGCAGTCCCCTCCCGAATACCATCATGATGCCCAGTTACTAGCACACACTCAAACACACTTACCCCGGAATGCTCCTCACTCTGCCTCATTCCCTAGCCCCCCAAATTTCCCTTCCAGAGATAGCGTTTCCAATCCACACGAACGGCACCCTCAAACACTTTCTTGTGCACACACTGAATTTCATACTTACATGTGATCAGAATTATTCGTCGTTTATGCATACTCTTTCCGACATTCATTATCTCTCATACCCAGTTACTCCATTTAGGTTGAGATGCTCTCAGAAACAGGGATACAGTCCAGGCAGAAATCRGGTTTACCCTCAAATTGTCCAGGGAACGGCTTCAAGCTATTATTCTCCTTTGGTCTGGAAGCCCAGCATCAGTCACATTCACCAAGTGCCTGCCAGTCCCACTACCAGGCATTTTACAACAGACAAGAAAGACTGATCACCACTTTTGGGGAGCTCTTGGTTCAGTCAGTAGTTCTTTGCTCATAGACCTAATTGAAGATTCCTTCTGTCTTTCCTGCACACTGATTGCTATATTTAGATTCCTGTAGTGATTATTACAAGTTACTGATACTGATTTCATCTGCCACCCCCTCCCCGGCCCCATGTAACTCTGCTTTTCAATGCCTTTCTGCCTTTACCACTGCCATCTCAGGAAGGTTTTATAGAAAGATATCTCTGGCTCACCCCATTCCTCCCAACTCCCAGTTTCTGATAGAATTGAACAGGGAATGGGGCTGAGTCAGTCTGTGGAGCCAGCCTCTCCCTTTTCCTAGGATTCTCTGCCCAAGCTTAAGGACCTGGCATTTCTCAAGAACCAGCTGGAACGCCTGCAACAGCGAGTGGAAGACGAAGTCAGCAGTGGTGTGGGCCAGGTAGGAGTTGTCCTCCTGCCTCTCACCTTAATCTTCATTGTCCAATTTTCTCTTGAGAATGTTGAGTCAGTGGCAGAGATTTGTTCAGCAAATGGTTATTGAGGGCCAGTTCTCAGTTCCCTAGGAAAATTTCCCTGAGAAAATAGTTCTTGACCTGAGATCTTAAGTAGTGGTTAACTAGGTGAAGTGGAGAGGAATGAAAACTCCAAACATATGCAGAGTAGTATTATGTACAAGAGGGAGGAAAGAAGGTCGGTTGGGCTGCAGTAGTGGGAAAATATGCTAGAAAATGAGACTGGAGAAATAGCAGGGCTCAGACTGCTCAGGGGCATCTCTGACATTTTAGCAGGAAGATTCTGTGGTTGGAGTTTTCTGACTTCAGGATTCTGATATATATTGTGTGATCAGGACTCCTGAGTTCTTTTTTTTTTTTTTTTTTTTCCTTTTTTGAGCTCCAGAACCTTGAGAAAAATCTTTGGAGAAAATGCTACAGCTGTAGAGAGTGACCCTCACTTGAGTACTTCCTGGGTAGAGAAGAGGGAAAACCTGCCTGAGTTTCCTTCTTCATTTTTCTCTGCAGGATGGCTCGCTTTTGTCCTCCCCGTTCCTCAAAGGATTCCTGGCTGGCTATGTGGTGGCCAAACTGAGGGCATCGGCAGTACTGGGCTTTGCAGTTGGCACCTGCACTGGCATCTATGCAGCTCAGGCATATGCTGTGCCCAACGTGGAGAAGACACTGAGGGACTACTTTCGGTCACTGCGCAAGGGGCCTGACTAGCTCTAGATCCTATGGGGGAAGCAGGATGAACAGCTGGGGCCTACAGGTGGAGGCCTTTCGAACACAGACACACTATCTGGCTTCCCCAGCTGTCATCTACTTACTGTCTCCACCTGTCCTGCCACCTTCATCTTAGTTTCTCTTCCTGCAGAGGGTGCACAGTGGCTTGTCGGACTGTAACCTGGACTCCTTCCCTCCCCAGCTCCATGAGACTGGCCCCAAGACCATGCTTCATCAGCCCCTACTCTCCCAGCCCTAACTGTAGAGTGTACAGATGACTCTGATCCTCAGTATTCTCTCTGGCAATGTACCAGCTCCTCCTGGAAGCTGGCTCCATAACTTAATATCCCTTAAATGTGCCCCAGTTCCTCTGCCACTTGCTAGTTACACAGGCAACCAGGATCTGATGAGGGCATGAGTGTAGAGGAAGGTGGTATGCCAGGCCTGGGCCGTCCTAGGCAGGCCCGCTGGACCCTGATGCTCCTCCTATCCACTGCCATGTATGGTGCCCATGCCCCACTGCTGGCGTTGTGCCATGTGGATGGCCGAGTGCCCTTTCGGCCCTCCTCAGCTGTGCTGCTCACTGAGCTGACCAAGTTACTGTTGTGCGCCTTCTCTCTCCTTGTGGGCTGGCAAGCATGGCCCCGGGGGGCCCCACCCTGGCGCCAAGCTGCTCCTTTTGCACTATCTGCCCTGCTCTATGGCGCCAACAACAACCTGGTGATCTATCTACAGCGTTACATGGACCCCAGCACCTACCAGGTGCTGAGCAATCTCAAGATTGGAAGCACAGCCCTATTCTACTGCCTCTGTCTYCGGCACCGCCTCTCTGCACGCCAGGGTTTGGCACTGCTGCTGCTGATGGCTGCAGGGGCCTGCTATGCAGCAGGTGGCCTTCAGGACCCTGGGAACACCCTTCCTGGGCCTCTAGCAGCTGCTGCCAGCCCCATGCCCCTGCATATCACTCCACTGGGACTGCTGCTGCTCATCCTGTACTSTCTCATCTCAGGCTTGTCGTCTGTATACACAGAGCTGCTCATGAAGCGACAGCGTCTGCCCCTCGCACTTCAAAACCTCTTCCTCTACACTTTTGGTGTGCTCCTGAACCTTGGTCTGCATGCAGGTGGTGGTCCTGGCCCAGGCCTCCTGGAGGGTTTCTCAGGATGGGCAGCACTTGTGGTGCTGAGCCAAGCACTAAATGGACTGCTCATGTCYGCTGTCATGAAGCATGGCAGCAGCATCACACGCCTTTTTGTTGTGTCCTGCTCATTAGTGGTCAATGCCATKCTTTCAGCAGCCCTGCTACGGCTGCAACTCACAGCTACATTCTTCCTGGCCACASTGCTCATTGGCCTGGCTGTGCGCCTGTATTATGGTAGTCACTAGCCCCTGGCTACCTTGCTTGCTTCTGATTCTATAGATTGGGCACCACCACCAGAGTCATCTCTCAAACTTCTTCCTTTCCTCCCCTTAGCAACTGTAATAAGTGCCTTGTGAGAAAAGCTGGAGAAGGGAGAGCAACCAAGTTAGTCTTGAAGTGGTGTATGAAGGAGGCTTCTAGGAGGCATGAAGAGTAGATTTGGTTAAGGAAACTTAACTTCCCCACCCACCCCCAAGTTCTTCCAAACTAAAGAATTGGGAGCATCAATACCTAGGCCTGAAAAATAACTCCATTCCTGATGGGGAAGGCCCCCTGCCTCATCTTCCATAAACACAAAATGAGGTATGGGTGACAAGTGGCTTTCCTTGCYCACTGTGGTCACCCCAGTATACCCACTACCCAGGCCTGGTGTTGGTGCACAAGCCCCGCCTTGGCGCATGACTTCTTCATAAGGGACACTCACACCCAACAGTCATGCAGGAAGGCCCAATTGCTACAAATTATATAGCTGTCACCTAGGCCACTCTGCCAAGGTCCCTCGGCTCTAGCACTGCCTGGAGATATATCCCCTACCCCCTCCACAGTGCTGCTTCCCTTACCCAGCCTTTGTTCTGGAAACCCCACAGAGGGCTGGGGCTTGACTCATCTCAGGGAATGTTGCCCCTGGATCCTGGCTTAAACCTATACCCCTAACCCCTTTGCTCACCCAAGGGCCCTATTGAAGCCCACTGCCACCTCTAAGGCTCTTAGGAGGTAGCATCTTTCCCACTCTGAGTCCTATCCCTGCCTAGTAGTGTCCCAGCTCCCAACAGCCTGGGAAAGCTCTGCACAGATTGACCTGGGACCAGGTACAGAAACTTCTATAGCTTAATCAATGTCTCTTTTAACTGCATAAGCAATAAGGTCTTAATAAAGTGTTCTAGGATGTAGGGTGCTTCCTACAACCAGTCATTATTGTCTTGTGTCTTCTATGCTGCACAGTTCCCCTCAAACATAATTGTCCCTTGGTCTCCTGAGTATCTTAATTCTGGAGTAACTTCTGGACTAAGAGGACAAGTGGTTTTCTCCAAGCTGTTGCTGTGGATCTGAGATATTCTCTGTCACAGACTTTGAAATTTCCCTTAAGCACAAAACTTGGGCCCTGGAGAATTTTGGAGAGTCTTGGAAACAGAAGGTACTGAGCCCAGCAAGACAAACTAAACTAGGCTGGAAAACTTAAGACCACTAATGTTTTATGTTTTTATTAGTGCATTATAATTATTTATTAATGGACTTTGTTATGCCATATTCATACATGCATATACCATAATTTGTTCACCCTCATTCCTCAGTACCTTCCCTTTCCCTCTCACTCTGATCCCCTTGCTCTATTGGTCTTTTTTTTTTTTTTTAATTAATGCAAATAATGTGGGTTTTGTTGTTACTATTTTTGGCACTAGGGATTTAACCTTTTATTTTTTATTTTGAGATAGGGTTTAAGTTGCTGAGGGCCTTGCCAATAGTGTTACTGAGGCTAGCTCAAATTTGTGATCCTCCCGTTTCAACCTCCCCAGTTGCTGGGATTACAGATATATGTGCCACTGCATCCAATTCTAACACCACTGAAGAGTTCCTAATCATCAGGTTTCACCCTAAGGCAGAGATCCAGTCTGACTGCCCCTCCCTTCATTGCACCCTGCTGAAGCTGCTGGTTCTGGGCTTGGAGCTCCTGGTTCCTCAAGGCCAGGTCAATGCTGTCTTGCAGGACACAAGCCAGTAGGCTGCGGTGATGATGCTCTGTGGTCATGGCCTGCTCTTCCTGCAGCCTCTGCCAGGCTCGAAATACCTGTGGCCAGATTCAGAGACGTCTGTCAGCCAGCCAGCCAGCCTTGCTACCAGCAGGCTCAAGGCCTACTGTCTGTCTCCACTGACCTGTAATATGTGGCTTGTCTGTGCTCTGGTGGCCTGCCCATGCAGATCATAGAAGAATGCCAAGTCTTCCTCTGCGATGTTCCGCTCTGCCTGCAGGGCCTCCACCTGAAGTCTCAGTACTTTCAGCTCCCGGTGCCATCTCGGCCTCTTCTCACAGGTCTTCAGAGATAATTCATACCCTTTGTTGAGCACCACCTATTGCTGGACTCTGTACCAAACCCTCCATATGCATTATCTCATTTTGTCCAGTAACAACTTTATGGGGTAGTTATCCTAACTTACCCAAATTCCCATGGCTAGTGAGAGACAGAGCTGAGATGACATATACCTTTCAACAGTTCCTTGGAGTGAAATCCAGACTCAGAGATGTGGTATACCATCTCGTTAGCTTTGCCTCTTGACTCCACACTTGCTGGGTGCCAGACTTGTGGTTCTCAGAGCCCATTTTGCCATTGCTTTATGCTAGCCCATTGCTTATACAGTTTTTCCTCTCTGAGAAATTATCCCCACCATAAAAAAAAATAGCTTTGATTCTTAATTTGTTCAAACAAGTTATGTTTACTGAGTACCTCTGTGATGAGCACTATCTGCCTTTGTGGAACTGAGTCTAGTGAATTCCCTTAGTGATTTCTGTTTGTCCTCTAAGTCTCACCTTAGATGCCATCTCCTCTGATTCACTCCAGCCTGGGTGAAGTGTACCTTTTTATTTTCATCCTAACTCCCCTATTACAGCATGCAGCACTGAGAATTGCCTCCTCTATCCCCCACAAGACTAAGAGGGTATAGACCAGTCAGTTGTGACTGATGAAGGACTAGCTTCTAGTACAATGACTAGCCTAATTATAAGGAATCTCAAGACCCCTACTCAGCCCTCCTCACCTCCTCTTCAGCCACCAGGCCTTTGACCTGTTCATGTACCACCTCTTCCTGTTCCAAATGCTTTATCTCCTCTTGGATCCAAATTTGGTGCTGCTCTCTCAATCTCTGCCTCCGAACTTGAGCCATGAGCAACTGCAGAGCCACATCTGGGGCCTGCTGGAACTAGATGGTATCAGTCTAGGCTTACCCGGAAGCCAGGACCTAACTGGCCCAGAGGAATCTGTAACCTGGGAAGAGACTCAGGAGGCCAGGGGTAGAGGAGGCACTGGCTCTGCCAATAGTCACCATAAAGGCCCTAATAATCTCATACTCATAATCCAACCAAGAAAAAAGCTCCTCTCTATGCTCATCCTTTAGGGATCCAGTAGCCCTTCAGGTCCTTTATTTTCCAGAAGCTCCATATTTCTTCCTGTTGTCAGGCAATAGCAGGAGGCAGATTAGCTGGGCTCTGGTACCCCCTCACACTCCCAACAGTTTCCAGTTGTTCCCAAAATATATGAGATATTACCTGTTCCTCAGAGTTCCTGAGAGGATGCTTTTGGTGGAGACCAGGCCCTAGAGATGATGTTCTTTCTGCCATTACAGGAAAATATAATTAGTCACACCAAAGGTGAAGACCCTTTCCCAACTACCCCTCAAGTACCAGATCTACCAAGGACTTCCTGCTGAGGCCTGGACTATGGCTTACTACTGAATCATCACCTGCAGAGAAGTAATCTAGAGTGACAATTTCTCATCCCTCYCCCAAGGACAACGTAGTTTAAGCTTGGGGCTTTGAAATCAAACAGATCAGAGACCCAGCCCTGCCTTTTCTTAGCTCTATGATGTCAGGCAGGCGACTAGTCTTTTGAGTCTCCATGCTCTTTTTCATAAAATAGAATGGATAAAAGTTGTTAAGATCATGAAATAAGGTAACAAATAAAAGTTGTTAAGAGCATGAAATAAGGTAACAACAAAGCACTGAGCAGTCAGGCATGTGATCAATAATTGGAAACTAATGTGCTTAACTCCCCAGGCCCAGTGTTATAAAAACAAATTGTAAGGATGTAATTATGAAAAGGGAAGAGAAGGACCTGAATACGCAGGGTTTGAACTACCCTGCAGCAAATCATGGAAGACAGCGCCCCCTTTTGTACAAGAGAGGTCATGCCATCCGGGTTGTTTCAGTTTAGAAATCTGAGGATTTTAGTGTTGCTCCTAGGCTGCCTCTGATTAAGAAAATGACCCTGGGCTACTCACATCTCTTCTCTTATCTCAGTTTTCTCACCTGACAAATGGGAATAATGTTGTCTTCCTTGCTTAGGATACTTCGGTGGCTCAGGCTTGACCTTCAAGACAGAGTCCAAACATCTCAGTAGTTTACCTGTGTAACCTGGCCCTACTTATCTCACTATTCCTTCTCGCCTGACTCTAACTTAAACTCTATTCTCCAGAGAACTGAGCTGCTTGCAGTTCTCCAGAGACATCAAGCATTTGCTTACCTCTCAATCTCTGCCTCTCATTCTGTCTAGGTTGTTCTTCACTCATCTTTGCCAACCTCAGGAATCACTTTCTCCATGAAGCCTTCCTTCCCTTTCTTGCTCAGGCTAACCCAGATGTGCCACAGAACCTTGTGTTTATAAGCCTTTCCGAGAACTGATCATGGTGTAATTGTTTCTTCCCAACAGATTGTAAACTCCACAAGATCAGGGAATTCCCAGGGCGGACATAGCCCTGTGCCCTGCACATGGTAAATTGTCAATGAATGTTTGGAAATCGATAAATCAATGAATAAATGGAATGCTCTGTGAAGACAGCAAAGAAAGACATAAATGGGGCTCCCAAAAGGTTGGAGAAGATGTACCTGCAGTTCTGGGAACCCCACGGCCTCAGCTGTAGCCCCTTTGGGTGTCCCTCTTCTTGGGCACTGGCTCCAGGCTTTTATCACCTATGGAGAAGGGGTTCAGAGTGGGCACTGGCCATTGCTGGCTCAGGTGCCCCTAGGCTTCACTTTGCTCACCTGTAGCTCCCGCAGTGCCCTTCCCAGCTGGCTAAGCCCACTGTCTGTCAAGGTGTCCCCAAAGAGGCTCAAACGCAGAGTCCTCAGGCTAGCCCGGCGGGCCCAGGCCTCTTCTACCGCATCCCACCAAGTGGGCTTCACCTCTTTCATCTGCATCCTCCTTCCTGATGCCCCCAAGAAAGCAGCCTGGAGCAAACGCAGGGAGCTGCCTAGTAAAGGAAAACTTGGAGTAGATTACTCCTTGCTGTAGACTCCAGAGCACACTGTTTGTAATATTTCAGATTTCCATTAATAGTACTATTCTGGGGCTGGGGTTGTGGCTCAGTGGTAGAGCACTCGCCTMGCATGTGGAGGGCACTGGGTTCGATCCTCAGCACCACATAAAAATAAATAAAAGTATTGTGTCCATCTACAACTAAAAAAATATTTTAAAAAATAGTACTATGCTTCAAAATATCTAACCCCTATTAGACTTGCACATGTGCTTGATGGCTCTGTCCTAAGGCTGTTCATAGCTTACCTCTTTTTATCCCCCACAACTGTAATTGACCTAGCCCCCACCCCACCCCACCCATGTTCTCCAGATGAGGCAATTGAAACTCAGAGAGGTCTAACAACTTTTTGGTAAGTGTCAGAGCAGAAAATCAAGCCCAGTTTTGTCTGACACTAAAGCCTGTGCTCTTAGTCATGACATCACACTGGCCTATAGATAAACACATGACTGACCCTCACTGCTTTATCTTTGACTGTGTCAACTGCCACAACTTATCTTCCTCATTCCATAGGACCTGGCATAGGAGGACTGGGAATCTGCTGGCCAAAAGTGTGTTTGTTGATTTTKGAGACAGAGTGCCAGACATGTTTTTTTTTTTTTAACTCTTATGGAAAATTTCAAACATATACACAGTGTAAGAAATCCATCTATCACCCWTCTTGAACTATTATCAGCTTTATGTGATAGAGGGAAGATTAAGCCCAGAGGTACTCTACCACTGAGCTATATTCCAAGCCTTTTTATTAAATTTTTTTTTATTTTGAGACAGAATATTGCTAGGTTGCTCAGGCTGACCTCTAACTTGCCATCCTCTTGCCTCAGCCTCCTGAGTGTCCTGGATTACAGGCATGCACCAATGTGCCCAGCAAAGGCCATATTATTGATGGGTATGTGAAAATAGGTAAGTTCTTTTCTCTTTCTGGTCCTCTATTTCCTCTTCTATAAAATATACCTGCCTCCATTTACTCATTTGTAAATTACATTCTCCTGAGGAGGTTATGGTAAGAATTGAAGGTATTAAAATGCTTTGTAAGCTGTTGAAGCCCCCTAAGGGGAGGGGTTTGCTTTTACTACTGTCTTTGCCCTTGCCCCTCTAAACTTTGGCACCTAGCCACAATGGCATCTTCCTAAATCCCAGAGGATAAAGTTTGCTCTCTGGGCAAGGGTTAGTTGGCTGATAGGATGAGGCAGGCCTAATGCCAGATTTCAGAGTTTCCAAAAAAACCCCACACCCTTGCCCCATCCATCTTGGGGGTCCAGGTGAATAAGGAGTCCACTGTAGTTGTTTCCTTCCAGAAGCCATGAGACAATCCAGGGCAGAGAGCCCTCCACCTTCTCACCAACAGCGTCACCCGCCAACACCCGCAGCAAGGGGCAATCCCTGCCAGAGAAAAAGAAGATAATAGTTGTCCACTTGTGATTGAGAAAGAAAATGAACGCATCACATGCTGATAAAAAGATTGACTATTTCCATCAACTTTTGCACATAACCAGACAGGTTCACAACCTGGAACTGAAATGGATGTAATGTCTGCAAAACAGAAATGTGTCTAGTGAACCACCTGCCAATCTTAACCACTGTCCAACTCACGTGAAATTCATGAAATGAGCACTTAAAGCAGTGGCAACTGAAAATAGAGAAATTTTTACAACAAACTCAGGGAGAGCTCTTTCCCTGACTTTTGGGAGAAATTATATATATATGAAAGATGGGATGTGAAAAAGAGGCCCTATCTGATGTGTTCTACTTTGATTTCTATCCTACAATCTAAAAAGTAATCAATGTGTTTGGCAACTTTTCAATTTTTATTTGGGGACAGGGTCTCCATACGTCGGGGCCTTGAACTTGTGACCTTTTTGCCTTGGCCTTTTTTTTAACTATATTTTTTTTTAAAGAGAGAGAGAGAATATTTTATTTTAATATTTATTTTTTAGTTTTCGGCGGACACAACATCTTTGTCTGTATGTGATGCTGAGGATCGAACCTGGGCCGCACACATGCCAGGCAAGCGCGCTACAGCTTGAGCCACATCCCCAGCCCTGCCTTGGCCTTTTGAGTCGCTGTACCACAAGCCTGTACCACCATGCTCAATTTATTTTTTACTTTTCTTTAATGTTTTTATTTTTCTTTAATTGTCCCTAGGGATTAAATTCTATGTCAGGTCACTGGCTAACTAATGAGATAACAGAATGAAGACTTCAGTGGCCACAAAGATTACTATCTTCAAAAATTGTTTGGAAAAATGACTAAGCAGGGCTGGGGTTGTGGCTCAGTGATAGAGCACTTGCCTAGCACATGCAAGGCGCTGGGTTCAATCCTCAGCCCCACATTAAAATAGATAAATAAAATAAAGGAATTGTGTTTCACTACTACTAAGAAATGAATATTAAAAAAATTAAATTAGGGATGGGGCTGGGGCTCAGAAGTAGAGCGCTGGCCTATCTACTTGAGGCACTGGGTTCGATCCTCAGCACCACATAAAAATAAAATGAAGATATTGTATCTACCTATAACTAAAAAATAAATATTTTTAAAAAAATAAATTTAAAAAAAAAGAAAAGAAAAATGACTACGCAAACATTGTTATAAGCCACAGCCCATAACAAGCAACAATAACAGATCCTGGACAGTAGGGAGAATTTGATTTCCTGAGTTACCACATAACATCCTAAATGTCAGAGCATTAAACTAAAGAAACAAAGAACAATGAACAAAAGATCAATATGACAAATACAGTTTTTTTTACAAAAAATATTAAAAATGGACAACTTCTAGCAAAAATTAAGACATGTACAAAGGAACAAGCAAGTATGGTTCAAAAGAAAAAAGAAATTAACAGACACTGTCCCTGAGGATGCACAGATGTTGAACACTGAAATATCTAGACAAATACTTTAAGTCAACTCTCTCAGAAAACTAAAGGAAATCAAGATGTGATGTTTTAATGAATAGAGAATATCAATAGAGAGGTAGAAATTATAAAGAAGAACCAACTAGAAATTCTGAAAAGTACAATAACTGAAATGTTAAATTCACTTATAGGGATACAAGAGTAGATTTGGGCAAGTGCAAGAAATAATCTCAGTGAACTTGATAGGTCAAATAATCCTGTCTAAGGAGAATTAAGAAAAAGATGAAGGAAAATGAGTAGAGAGCTTAAGAGACTTSTGGGAGTCTGGATAATGCAAATACCAGAGGGAAAAGAGACAAAAGAATAGAAAAAAAATATTTGAAGAAATAATGGTCAAAAATCCCCCAAATATACAACTATAATGCACCAATAAAAAATGTGGAAGGAAAAAACCTTCCAAATATGCTGTCTTTTTCACATGTACTCCTTTTGCATGTATTTGCTTCCCCTTTCCACTTCTCTACCATGAGTTGAGTAGTATGAGGACCTCACCAGAAGCCCCATAGATGCAGATATCATGCTCCTGAACTCTCCTTCCCCCAAAACCATGAACCAAAATAACCTCTTTTCTTTCTAAAGTGAAAAAAATCTTTCAAGTTTATGAAACCATGAATCTACATATGCAAGAAGCTAATGAATTCTAAATAGCATAAACTCAAGGTGATCCCCACCAAGACATTATGATCCAACCATCAAAAGACCAAAAATCTTTAAAAAAAAAAAAAAAAGCAAGAAAGAAGCTAACTTATTGTGTGTTGTTAATCTTCAGTAAGATTAAAAACTGAGGTCTGGGGRTATAGCTCAGTTGGTAGAGTGCTTGCCTCCTATATGTACAAGGACCTAGGTTCAATACCCAGCACCACCACCACTGTGCTGACTCCCACATGCTTTCTTTGTCAAAAAGCAATGTCTTGTACCTGGCTTTAGTAGTCAGGATGTGTCACAGTCCTCAGCAAATTACCTGTTACCTTCAAGGAAACTCAGGCAGGAAACAATGTTGATAAGAACAACCCAAGTTACTTTGAAAGGAGAGACTTTTTGTGACCCCTTTCACAGACTAGATCTTGGAAGATAAGGGTAGTTCCTCCTAACCATAAAACCTGTAAAAATGATTTAGAATCTAATAAGAACTGCTCAGCATGGGCCAAGGTGACATAGAGTTATCCTGGCAGTAAGGCTTGAAAGCCTGATGTCATCTTGCTGTCAGTCAAAAGTTAAGAAGTAGACCTGGGCGGGACTCTTTGGAAACTTCCCTGGGATCCCCAATAAAACTGGAGTGCATGGAATATTGTTTGGGGTTTCTTTCCATGATGACAGCTGAGTCAGAGTGACTATGAGGCGACTCTTGTTCTAAGATGGAGTATATGTTTCAAAAACAGCATTGCCTGTGTCAAGTTCTTCCTGATAGAGGTTTTTTAAAAAGTAATGTGACTTCTTTTTTTATTATTTTATTTATTTATATGTGGTGCTTCAGCACAGTGGGTTCATTRTATAGTGCGAGAGYACTCACCTAGCGTGTGTGAGGGCCTGGGCTCCACCTTCAGCACCACATAAAAATAAATAAACAAAATAAAGGTATTGTGTCCATCTACAACTAAAAATAGTTTTTTTTTTAAATTTTTGCAGTATCTAAAACCCTATCGTGATATAAATATTCAACAAAATAATCCCAACTACTTAGGAGGCTGAGAAGGAGAATCACAAGTTCAAGGCCAGTCTGGGCAACTTAGGGAAACCCTGTCTCAAATTAAAATAAAAAGGGCTAGGAATTCAGCTCAGTGTTAAAGCACCCCTGGGTTCAATCCCCAGTACTACAAGCAAAACAACAAAAGCAAAAACAAAAACCAAAAAAATCAACTCAATAGGAATAAAAGGGAAATTCTACAACATTATAAAAAGTGTATGTGCAAGGATTGGGGTTGTGTAGCTCGGGAAGCTGAGGAAGGAGGATCGCAAGTTCAAAGCCCACCTCTGCAACTTAGTGAGGCACTAAGCAACTCAGTGAGACTCTGTCTCTAAATAAAATACAAAATAGGGTGGGGGATATGGCTCAGTGGTTGAGTGCCCCAGAGTTCAATCCCTGGTACCAATAAGTAAATAAATAAATAAATGGAAAGATGTGCTGATATATACTACAGCATGATGAACCTTGAAAACATTATTCTAAGTGAAGGAAGCCAGGTATAAAAGTCACATATTGCATGATTCTGTTTATATGAAAACCTTCATATTAGGTAAATCCATTGGGAAATGAAATCATGTTCAGTAGGGGCTGGGAGAAAGGGAAATTGGAGAGTGACTGCTTAATGGGTACAGGGTTTTCTTTCAGGATGATGAAAATGTGTTGGAACTAAAGAGTTTCACAACCTTATGAATGTTCTAAATGTCACCAAATTGCACATTATGGGCTGGGGATGTGGCTCAAGTGGTATCGCGCTCGCCTGGTATGCGTGCAACCCGGGTTCGATCCTCAGCACCACATACCAACAAAGATGTTGTGTCCGCCGAGAACTAAAAAATAAATATTAAAAATTCTCTCTCTCTCTCCCCTCTCTCACTCTCTCTTAAAAAAATTGCACATTATATCATGGTTATAGTTAAATTTATGTTGTATGAATTTTACCTCAATAACTATAGACAAAGATTAAAATTCAGTTAGAGTGCTTGCCTAGCATGTGTGAGGTACTGGATTTGATCCTCAGCACCACATAAAAATAAATWAATTAATTAAGTAAAGGCATTGTGTTCATCTACAATTAAAAAAATGTTTAAAATAATTGAGTTACCAGTTTACCCCCCCACACACAATATCCCACACACAATTGAAAATATGTAAAAGAAATATGTAAAAAGAAAACCTTTTATGTGAATGTTCATAAGAAGTAGTATTGTAATAGTCAAAGGTGGAAACAGCTCAAATGTCCATCTAGGAATAAATGAATGAACAAAAGATGGGATATTCATACARTTGAATATTATTTCAATAAAAACTGAAGTTTGAACCTTGAAAATGTTATCCTACATGAAAGAATGAAAGAAAGAAAAGACTTTGGAATAGTCTGGAATTTAGGGTACTTTATTTCTCCATTTTGTTTTTAGGCACTTCTGAATTTGGCCGAGTTTCCATGATAATACAAATTTTGCAAATTGGCTTGAAATGTTTATTTTCTATTGCCACTCAATGCTTTCATATTTTTGGACACTGAGAAAAAGGTACAAAGTRCAGCATGAAGATATGGTTACTTGGGAATTTTCCAATCTTTGTTTTGGATATTTGGTTCTTCCCAAGTTTGCAGTCTGATAGATCAGAAGAAAATTAATTCAAATTGTAAAAATTAAAAAGAAATAGAAGGCTGGGCATAATGGCACATGCATATAATTCCAGAAACTTGGGAGGCAGAGGCAGGAGCCAACCTTGGCAATTTAGCAAGAACTTGTCTTTTTTTTTTTTCCCCCCTCAGGATTAAACCCAGGGCTTTATGCATGGAAGGCAAGCACTCTACCAACTGAACTCTATCCCCGGCCCTAACACCCTGTTTTAACATTAAAAAAAAAAAATGGGGCACTTATCAATATATGAAAAAACAGTGACTGGAAAGATCTAATATTTAAAGATTCTACAMATTCTTTACCTACCCAGTTGCTTTTGACCACATCATTTGCCAACAGAGGGTCTTAGTCTGGAGTCTGGGGAAACCTTACTGTGAGAGCTCAGGAAAAAAGGAGAAACTTTGATGCTGCSCTGGGCATTCACATCCATATTCCAGCCTTGCACCTCACCTCCCAATGCAGCCAGAGGCCCTCTCATACTTACGGGGTCCCTGGGAGCTGCAAGATCCTCAAAGCACCTCGCCACACACCCTGGGTCCCAGGCCCCTCAGGAGGTTTAGGCCCAGGGCAGAACATGGTGACAGTGAGCAAAAAGCAGGTCCTGTGGGGGAAAGGGTAGGCTCAAGGCAAAGGCCCAGGGGATGAGGGATGACTGGTGCCTTCAGGTCCTCACCTGCCTTCACCCCCTGCAGCCTGTAAGTATAGCTCTGAGGCAGCTCTTGCRTCAGACACTTCCACTTCACTGGCATGTTCCACCACCCTGCAGGAAGGGGAAGTTGAGTCACCTCCTAAAATGATTTTAATTTTCTCCTGTGAGCTGGGCAGGGTGGCGCATACCTATAATCCCAGAGATGAAGGAGGCTGAGGCAGGAAAGTCACAAGTTTGAGGCTAGCCTCAGCAACTTATTTTTCCTCCTCTGGTTTGCCCATCAAGGGAAATAGGATAATTGGGATTCCCCCCATTTTACAGATGAAGAAATGAAAGTCTTGCTCAGTAAAGTGGTCAAAATTACCTACTATGACAGCGGACTGAGTTGAGATGTGAGGATGGAGAATAGAGTTGAAATGGTATGAGTTGAAGAGTACAATCGGGGTGGAAGTAGTAAGAGATATGACCATATGGGATGAGGGTGCGAGAGTGTGAGGGTGCGAGGGTGCAAGGGGGTCCTGGGAGCAGACCCAAGGCCTGTAAACAGGACTCTAAGCTCAGAGCTTCCCTCTTCTGAGGTGGCAGCGGGTAGAAACCTCTAAAGACTTGACCTGGGGCTATTAGCCCTGCCTTAAGACAAGCACACTCAGACCCCATTGGGCCCTGAACACTCACAAGCCTAGAGGAGCCACATCCAGCACCGACAGGTCCTCCACCCCTGGGGAGAGCAGGTCCCACGTCTTCCCGCTGGGGCTGATCTGAGGTCACACAAGCGCACTTGTTACAAACTGAGCCTTTCCTTTTGTGGGTCCCTCTGAGCTCAGCAGTGTGCATGACTGAGCCATTCCATTGTCAGGATAAAGTTGACCCCACAGAGACAATCCTACTCTGGTGAGCCTCAGAGTGGGGCTAGACCCAAGTTCTTCTGGCTCCCCACAAGCTGCAGGTCCTTTCTTCAGTGTCACATGGCCCTGGCTCCCAGGTCCCAATCCCTTCTCCTCAACCCCCAAGAGTTTCACCTGCACCAGGCTAAGAGTGCTAAGCACATGATCAGAGCGGTGGAGGGACAGAGCTTCCTCAAACAGCATCTGCAGCAACTAAAGGGAGAAAGGGATCCAGTGAGGACTGAGAAAGAAATGACTCAGCCCTCAACACTTCCTGAGGGTGAGATGTATGCCACGCCCTGTCTGGGTACTGGGGTCATGGTGTCCAGAATAGAAATAGCACTAACCCTCATGTTCACAGTGAGCCAGAATCAATACACATGAGTAGACATTTTCAGTGGGACCTGGCACAGGGTCCCATGACAAGGTTCTGAGGCAGCTGTTTTGATTTGGGGAAATTTTAATGAAGCCCCCCACACACAACAAAGTTTTCAAGTTTAGTATCATTAGTGTAACCAAGAACTATGAAAAGCAGACCTCCTGAATATTTGATCTTCACACACCGCCCCTCTGACTCCCATCCCATCCTCATGAGCGTCCTGCCTTTCAAACCTGCTAGGGTCAAAATGTACTACATGGATCACAGTCCCCCAAGGCGTGTTACCTAGTCCAGCTGGGATGGACAGACAAAGAACCTCTAAAGTCCTGGAGAAGGTAACTCCTGAACCTCATGAGGTCTGTGCCTTGGTGGTTCCTTACCTGGGGCACAAATCGGGGGGCCTCTGTCTCCCTGCCTCGGAGCAGCAGAGATACACTGTACCCTTGGCCCACAGAGGCCAGTGTTGTTTGGACTCGTGCCAGTAGCTCCTGCTCTGCTTCCTGCGGGAAGACACAGGCTAATTCCCACTGTCTCGGGTGCCATTTCCCAAACTTTCCTGASCAAAGGGGTGGGGAGCAGACAGCACTCTCAGATCCAGGGCCCTGAAACCTCCCATCATCCTCCCATCACCCGCTCAGTTTCCCTACCTGAGCAGCATCAGGACCCAGGACTCTGTCAAAGGTGAAGCATTGTTCCTATGGGCAGAACTGGGGTCAGTAGTGTCATTCCCATCTTCCCCTATACCCACCAACTCCACCTGTTTACCTGAGTCTCCAAGTTCCCCAGCTGAAGAAGTCGAAGGCTCTTGGGCCCCTCCAGAAGGATTGTAGGGCTATGGGTCTCCTTAGGGCCTGAGAAAGGCAAATTTCACATGAATTCTCATGAAGAAAACTGAGCTCCAGGATTCCCCAAGTCCTGCCTTCAACCCAGGCCTCAGTTTCTCAACCTAAGYTGTCCTGGCCCTGCCTCTCCCAAGAAGCTCCCTAGGCTATACTCCTGAATACAAACTTGGGGGGCTTCTTACCTGATCCCCTCTCCAGCTCCACTTGTACCACCACAGTCAACATGGCAAGTAGATTGAGAGACACAGTGTGGGTCCCTGGAGAAGGCAGACCTTCCTGGTCCACACAGCCCCTGTTCTCACCACTTCTGTAGACTCCAAGACTCCTGGCCTCTCAGGTTGCCCTTAATAATTCATGTCCTTCATGAGAGGGCCTGGGAGTAGGTGTCAGGTGGCTCTAGATAATTAAAATACCAAGAGAAGTGACACTCTCTTCTGAGAAAACATTTCCTGAATTTCTTTTTTTTTTTAATGAAAACTTTCCAACATATATAACAGTGAAGAGAAGAGTATAATAAACTTCTAGGTTTAGCTTCAGCAATTATAAATTTCCAGTCAGTCTTATTTCTTCAATTACCCTCCCCATCCCCAATGGATTATTTTGAAGTTGTTTCCAGACATCTCATTATTTCATCAATTATTTCTGCATCTATTTCTAAAAGGTAAACATTTTTTAATAACAGTTTTTGAGATATAATTAATATGCCACACAATGTACCCATTTAAAGTATAAGTCAGCGTATATACATAGATATACATATATCTATGTATATATACATATACATATATCTATACATATATCTATGTATGTTCATAGATATATGCAACCAATACATAGATATATGTATTGGTTGCAACCACTATAACAGTTAATTTTAGAATATTTCCATCATGTCATTAAAAAAATTTTGATTTCCTTTAGTTATCAGCTCCCTAACCTCAAACCACCCATCTCAAGCTGCAACCCTGAGCAACTATTTATCTACTTTCTGTCTACAAATTTGTCTGTTAGACATTTCATATAATTAGAATTACATACTGTAATTTTTGCATCTGGTTTCTTTCACTTAGCATAATGTTTTCAGTGTTCATCTATGTTGTAGCATGAATAAATATTTCTTTTCCTACAGCTGAATAATATTCTATATAGGCTTCTGTCACAAATTACCCAGGAWCCGGCTAAATTTCACAGTAAAGGGCGTGATTTTCTGTAGCATTCTGCTCACTATAGACACCACTCTCAAGCTCAGGTTTCCCTAAGCCTTTGCACTCCAACCACCTGGGTATTTCTATGATTCTGGGTGTTTCCATTACTCCCTCAGGTTTGATTCACAAAAACAACTCACAGAACTCAGGAACACACTATGTTTATTTTATAACACCAATTTTCTGACATCAACTGAATGTTCAATTCAATTCATTTCTGACATGAACTGCCTGGAGTTGATGACAGATCCCACAAATTAAAATGTAAATTTCTCAACAAAGCTGTCCTTAATTTAGATGACAGACACTTTAAGGTTACTTGGCTATCCATATTTCTGTCTGAGTTGGCTAAAAGTTTAGCAGTTCCAAAGACCCCATGTCAGGTTTAATAATTCACTAAAGGGACTGTAGTGTATAGCTCAATGGTAGAGCCTGTGTTTAGCATGTGCAAGGTCCTGGGTTCAGTTCTGAACACTGATAATATTAATAATTCACTAGAATGACTCACAGAACTCAGAAAACTGCTCTACTTACTATTGCCTTATTTAAAAAAAATATTTATTATAAGTATGTCCCAACTATTTTTAAACTTTTTTGTTTATTTATTTATTTTCTGTGGTGCTGACGATGGAACCTAGTGCTTCACACATGGGAGGCAAGCATTCTACCACTGAGCCACAATCTCAGCCTCTTACTATTGCCTTCTTATTATAAAGGATATAAATGGATAGTCAGATGAAGAGGTACATAGGGCAAGATCCAGGGTACAGGAGCCTCTCTCACTATACTGCCATCTTCCAGGTTCATCAATGTGCTTACTGCCAGGAAGCTCCCTAGGCTCACTGTCTGGAGTTGTTGATTTTTTTTTTTAGGTTTTATTATGCAAGCATGGTTGATCATTGTCCAGGTGACTGAACTCGACTCCAGATGCCCTCTTCTCCCCAGAGGGTTGGTGGGAGCGGGGAGCTAACAATTCTAGCCTTCTAGTGACATGATTGGATTTCTGGTATTCTACCTTTTCTATGCTACGGCTATACAGAGTCCACAGCAAAGTGGTCTTGGACTGACTCAGTTCTCCCCTCTTCCTTGCTTGTAGTTTTAAAAAATAACTGCAAAATGTGATGGGAATGCAGCATCCTGTGACAGGAGGGACTGGCTGGAGCAACATAGGCTCCTAAAATAGGATATCTTTCAATGCTTTATCCCAGTAAGTCTGATTTTCCCTGGGGTATGAAACCCAAAGCATTGCTATACAGGGTTCCTCAGTTGTGGTGCCAGTGGGGTATGCACAAAAGATTCCATCCACCCAGGGAGCTTTCCAGAGCCTTAGGGGACTGGCTCACAATGAATTCTTAGCTTTTCCTATTGTCCCTTGACAATTTTTTTTTTCTGTTGTCCCTCGATGCTTATCTCTAAGTAAGTTGTGTGCAGGTATTCACCAAAGTCAGACAAGTGGGTAACTAGTACACAGTGAACTTGCTTTGCACACTTCATTAGTCTAACAGAGAGACTCCTTTTACTCATGAATTCCAAAGGATTTTGAAACTCTGTGCCATAAAATGGGGACAAAGATCAGACATATTCTTTATCATATCACTGTCCAGTCCATGGTCGTTCAGCAAAAGGGTCATACCTGTCTCATAATCTACATTTGGTGTATTATTGATATAGCAGATACAGCAGACTACCAACATGCATACGCTTAATGTGCAAAGCCTAATATTTGGAAGTATCAGTGTACGGAAATAAAATCCAATTTTCCAACACCAGGCAACTATCAGTTTCAGTAAGATGGCCACTCAGATTTTTATGATTCTACGCAATCTTTTCAGGTTCCAAAACCAGGAGTGATCTCAGCAACCTTTGGCTTCACCCTTTCAGACAGCTGGTATGACAATATCACCTCTTGCTCTGGAATTCTTTTGAAGTGTTAGTATAATACTTGATTACTCTAATTGTATAACCCATTTATTCATTTATTTGCCATCCATCAGCTATTATTTTTCCTTCTCTTCATTTATATCCAAACTTTCCTACTTTYGAAGATATGTAGATCTGACCACTGTCCTGGCGTACACCTCTGGCAACAAGTGTCTCCCCTTCAGTCCTCCCCCATTCATGTAGAGTAGGGTTGTATAGATATGAAACTGGTGGGCTGTCTTAACCACTAGCCAGTACAGCAGCATTTATTGTCAACTCAAATATTTTACAGATAGGCTGAAGGCACAATATGCTCCATTAGGCTCTTAGGAATTCTGATAGAAATATTTAAAGAAACAGTTACGGTTTCTTGTTTGGGAATTATCCTTGCTTCTGGCATCTGCAGATTCATCTCTGGTCCTGAGATCTTTGCATCAGGTGGGAAAAAAAAAGAAAGTTGAGGTGATATAGATAACAATCTCATAGTCATACTAGTATAAGGTGATAGCCAGCGTCTCATTGGGGGGTTCTTCTTCCTGCTGAGAAGGTGTAAGCCACCTGAGAAATTAAAGTCTACAATAATTAGTGAAGAACAAAAGACAAGATCAGAAAGACAGATTCACCAGGGGAGTCCCTGATAGGTCCAGTCCACACAGGAGCTGGAGCCAGACAAAAGAAAATGGCTCCAGTGGTTTATTTAAGGGGATACATAAAAGTCAGGGATAAGGTTTCAAGGGTGGAGTCTTGCTTCCTGGTGTCTTGCAGTCAGCAGGTTGATTGACATCTTGGTAGGTCACACCCATCTCAGAGGGGTTGTGTGGCCATAGCAGGTCACCCCATCTGTCACCCCATCTTCGGTGCTGTATGGGACTTTTGGCAGAGCTTGAATAGGGCTCACTATGARTCAGGGCAGTCAACCAGAGGATGTGTCCACTGGTCAGTCCCAGACACCAGATTCTTCTATTCAATAGGCTTCGATTGCTGCGGCCCACATGCAGCCCACAGATGGCTTGCAACATACCAGAATCCTCCTTCACTCTGTTTTCCTCAGATCCCCTAGAAGGGTGGTAGAATCTGTCCAGAGGGGACTCTCCCTTGCCACCTACCCCTGCCATGTTGAATGTGAGCATACATTCTTATAAACTCATTCAAACAAGTGCCTCATGACTTTATTTTCCTCCCTTCATATTAGACAGCAAATGTTTCAATTATTTGTTTTAATTCCCTATTAAAACATTTCAATTATGTGTTCTAATTCCCTGTGGATAATATGCAACATGATATGTCTATTTGATCTGATATCTCTTTGCCCACTGTTGGATGCTATGGGCTATAAAGTTTGATTCTTGGTCTGAAGATATTAACTTGGGTGTCCAAATTGGTACAGTACCTTTTTTTTCAATCCTTTAATAGTATTTTGAGCATTTGCATCTACCACTGAGTAGTAAAATCTAGCCAGAGTAAGTAACTATTCCTGTCAGGACCCATTTGTAGCTCCTCAGGGATTCCTGCATGTGTTAAATCTAATCCACTTGCCAGCTATGTGGGGGGACTTCCCTCTGGGGCTAGCGGCTGTACCCAGGCCAGTCAGGATCTAAGCAGTCCAAGGTCTTTCCCACTCATTCCTTTAGTAGAAACCTGAGAATACAGGCTATCTGGTCAAAATATCATCTTGTCTCTCTTTTACTGTCATATTAGCTATTACAAATAACCATATCCCATAATAAAGGGATCGTATATTTAGCTTTTATCTTGTTAGTTTACATTTTCTTATGCATCCAATTACCCAATTCCCCATGAGTTACATTAGTCATCTCTAAATTCCACTAGTAACTTTTACCTCTAGTATCTATTCCCAGCACAGTTGCTGTTCTATATGACTGGTAACCCTGTGGTAACCCACCCAGGAACCAAAGTTCCTCATTCTCCTCTTTCTTTCTCTTCACAAACCACATAGAGTAATCCTCCACCCCTATTTTTATACACAGTTTTTCTATCCAAGGTTTCAGTTACTCAATGTCAACTGTGACTGGAAAATAGTAAATGGAAAATTCCAGAAATAAGCAACTCATAAGTTTTAAATTGCGCACTGTTCTGGGT